AGGCCAAAAAGAGAAAAAAGAGCTCCTGCTAAATATCTTCACATTGTTGATGTCACTCATGCAATTCAATTCACATTTTGCGTGTCTAAAAGTTGAACAGACCTCTTCATTCTCTTTCCCCAATTCACTCCACAGAGATGCTGGTGTGTTTCAGTGGAACTTGGAAGTTTGCTCTTCTTTTTAAAATGACTCTCATAGATACTGTTTATGCAAGAAGTTATGGGACTATAACTTACAAATACTGTTCTAAACCTTGGGATCACATATTCCCCTTTTTCTCTACTTATCGTTTCTAATCAGTTTCCCATTTCCTCTTTCTCCTTCATATTTACACTGCATTCCTTTTAGTTCAGGTTCTTGTTACCCCACTCGATTTCTTGATGTGGTCACCTGAATGTCCTTCGTGTTTCAGCCTCCTGGAATCCTTCCTTCATGACCCTGAAGAACTGCCCTCCAGACCCGCAGGTGTGACCCAGAATCAAGGATCTCAAAGCCAAGTGGGATCTGAGAGGCTATCTAGACCAATCCTCCATTACAGACGTATACCTTTTGATGACTTCACTTCAGAGCCCAAAATATCTGCACTGCAGGCAGAATCACCTAAATCACTTGATGCGATGTTCAGTCTTCCCGTGGTATTTTCCTATCTGCATCTCCCTACTTTCGGTCAGCCATTTCTCACTCATGACACGGAATCCTTCATTCACAACCCATTATTATTGTTCGTCACACACACTCATTTGTTTTCTGCCTAGGTTTTTTGTTACATTATTCCCTCTGCTGGAAATACCATTTTCCAAGATCTGACTACAGAATTTTAACGTATTCCTCAGAATGATTCACATATCACATATTCTACCAAATGGCTGCAGATTCTGTCACCTCCTCTCTTATCCTACGGCAACCTGGAGAACGTTCTTCTCTTAGCCAATAGGATTTATCATGGTCCTTCTTTATCTTAACAATAGTTTAGCGGGACTGAGAACTGGGAAGTAGATTTTTCTCTCAGGGCTGAGAACTGCCTTAGTTTAGCAGATCTCTCTGGGGCTCCATTCTGGTTGTAGAAAAGCAACCCATAGGGCATGGTGGGGAGGAGAAGAAGGGGAAGTAAGCTGTGTTGCATGAAGATGGACAGTTGTGACCCTTACTCCGGGGTTGGGAGTTGAGGCCCCTAGGAAGGAGAAGCTGTAAGGATGAAGACGAGGCATAAAAAGTGATACAGGCCGGGTGTGATGACTCACGCTTGTAATCCTAGCACTTTGGGAAGCCAACGTGGATGGATCACGAGGTCAAGAGTTCAAGACCAGTCTGACCAATATTGTGAAACCTGTCTCTACCAAAAATACAAAAATGAGCTGGCTGTGGTGGCACATACCTGTAGTCCAGCTACTCGGGAGGCTGAGGTAGGAGAATCACTTGAACCTGGGAGATGGAGCTTGCAGTGAGCCAAGACAGCCTGAGTGACAGAGGGAGACTTCATCTCAAAAAAAAAAAAAAAAAAAAAAGTGATGCATAGTAACAAGACTGCCTGAGGAGAAGAGGCAATCAGCAACCTTCTCCAGGGTGGGATGGCTGAAGACTCTTTAAGAACAAAGGTGTCTACTTTCCTTCTTTAGGTTGCTCTATCGTGATTTAATGAACCCTCCCAATCTACTGTATTCAGTATTTGGTATGAGTCAATTTAGGGGAATTCTAGAAAACATAGCTGGCTGTTATCATCAGGTTAATGTAGATTGGGAGGAAGGGAAAAACCCCAGGAGGCACGTAGGAAGGACAATACGTGAAAATAGAAACTTGAAGTCAGTTCACCCTTCAAACAAAATCCAGTTTCCAGAAGACATTGTCAGGGCTGCTGGGTCTTCCTCATCTGAAGATGGGGGATTCCAGATAATTATTATACTTGAATCTCACAGGATGGGGTGATCACCACCAGCTCTCAAATGGGATGAGTTACAATATCTTCTATCGTGAGGTGGTAAATAAGAGGTTAGGTACACGTCTGTAGTCATCACAATTTTGTCAAGATTGCTCTTTTTACTTCCATGTCATAGATGGAGAGCCTGATGCTTGTGGAAGTGATTGGTTCAGGGTCTCGCCATCAAAAGTGGCAGAGGAAAGATTCCAACATGTTTTAAAAGCTGCAAACTGAGCTGACTCCCATCCTTGCTGTCATACCGACTTTGAGATTTCAATCCTCCTGAAGGCAGGAAACTTATTCCATTTGTTTTTATACCCTCCATAACACTAGTGAGCAAGTTTTGCTCAAAGTAACATGGAATATTTTGCTGACTCAAGGGGAAAAAGAAGAGACTTAAATGACACCATCACAAGTCAACATTCAAGGAACAGACATATTTAGCATTAGCTGTCTCAGTCAAATCAATATAAGCATGCACGTTTATCCTTTACATGGGGGTAAGACAGCAAACACAATTGAAAAAATGAGCCAAGTGTAAAACATTTGTCACAAAGGGATGGATTTAGACAGGAGAGCAGTGAAGTAGGTTATAAAATGGTCAGCATAATCCATTTTAAGGAATTATTAGCTGAAACATGCAAAGCATTTAGGATTTCTGGGAGAAGTGTACAAACACACCAAATGTTTGTCCGACATTTTCTTCACTGCTTCTGTCTTTCCACAGGGCTGGAGATGATGTTGACCAACGGCCTTGGGAGGAGGGGTTGCAGCTGAGTCCACACCCTCTCAAACTCCTTCAGACTGTTTGTTTTTGTAGACTACTTTACCATTAACAACAAATCCTAACATTTACTCAATCAGTACAGCAGTCGTTGGCCAGAGTTCAAATTTCTGATTCGAAGGAATCTGCACTCTGCCTGCCAGGATTGACTATTAATGGCTTCGTCCGTAGAGGAGCTATGTCTTTGCTCACTACGGAATAGTATTGAGGCTTCGAAAGGGGTATTTTGCTGGTCACCTCCTTGGTCATCCTTCTGCTCACCAAGAACAGATACTGTTCTCAGCCCCTTACATTGACAAGGTCCTTTAATTCTCACATAGCCCTTTCAGATAGATGCGACTATTACCCCCATTTTACAGAGGAGGAAATCAAGAGGCAGAGGACATAGGCGAATTGTCCCAGATCACAGAGCTGGCCACGGAGCTGGGACTTGCACCCGGCCAGCCTGGCTCCAGAGTTCCCTGCCCTCCTCCTGTACAGCACGTGTGACCTGCAGTAATCACCGCCCAAACAGGCAGGCACTGCGGATAGCCAAGAACATCTCTTCCGACTTCAGCACGGAGGAAGGTTCATTTTCATTCTGGTGTTCAGCTCGGGACTGTGTTTATCACCACAAGGACGCACAACCCAGAAAGCTCAGTCACGTGACGTTGCCTTCTACGGTCATGGTTTTCTACTTTTTGGCCCCATTTTCCTGCCCACTTGGCCTGCTGGGACGTGAATGATACATTACTACTACTACAGAATGCAGGTGAGCAGGTGGCATGGCAAGGTGGGTTATTGGACAAGATTTCCTGACAGCTGGAAGCTTGGGGGAGACTCGTGGTGGCCCCTTGTTATTCTCCCCTCTGGGGTCGAGCGTGAGTCCCTCATCGCTGGTGCCAGGCGGTGTCACAGTTTTTAGCACCCCACAGCCAGGGCGGCTTCTCTGTCCAGCTCCCCCCGCCCCGCCCGGCTTCTTTAGTGAGAGAAGTTCTCTGACTTGGGATTTTGCAGTCAGAAGAGTGATCATTACAATTTTCATTTTGAATATTGTGGCCCTGCTGGACTGCGGTGCAACAGGCTCTTTCATGAAGATTGGCAGAGATGCTAACGGCTAGGGCACCAGGATCAACGGGAGCGAGGAGCACTCCTGGGATACAGCTCTTAGCTCTCCCCGGAGGGAGCCACAGAAATGTGAATCTGCTCTTCACATGGCCGTAGATTCTCCCGTGTCCTCCATGGAACCTGTGGAGGCAGCATTAGGTGCTGGCCGTCTCCGGGGTGTGAGCTCAGTGAGCAAGAGAACATCTGCCCTCCCACCCCCATCTCCGCAGCTGAGTCCTCTTGCAGTTTTGATTTTTAGAATGAACGCAGCAACCTGCCCCATTCTGCTGATGCTGCAAAAAGGAGCTGGAAAAGAACGTGCACAGCTTCTCCAGTCTTAGTATTTGTTACCTTGTAGTTTGGGAAACTTTGGCTTGAAACTTGGCTGTCCTAGTACAAGGATGTGCTGAGGATTCTATGATCCTGCTAGATTCTTCCAGGAGGTCAAGTTGAAAACAAGCTAGCTGCTCTGTCTCTGTCACTGTTTCTCTTTCTCTTGTCTGTGTCTGTCCCGTCTCCCAGTTCCTCTGTTCGCCTTTTCCTCTCTACTTCTCTCTCCATCCCTCCCTCCCTTGCTATTACTCCAAAGAATATTCTTGCTGAATTTGTTTCTCCATATCTTCTGCCTTTCCTTAGAATCCATTCCTAAGAGTCTACTCATTGTGAAAAGCAAACGACCTTTAGATGTTTTCCAAATCTAACAGATGGGTGTCCTTTCAGACAGAGCTTCATTTTACACTTTTATCAAGAAGCCCGGGGCTCCCTGCTCGCCGTGCTGCAGTCGCCCTCAGGAGGTTCATGGAGAGCAGAGGCCTTGGGGCTACGTTAAGGGGTGTCTTTTTTCCAATGTCCCGAAGGTATACTTTGGGGGGGGGGCCGTTGAAGTAGGAAAGTGACATCAGCACTGCCTGTATGGCATGGGTTGGTCAAGTACAGTGTGCACCCGACCCCCGGACTGGCTCTAGGTGGGGACAAAGGACTTCAGTTATTACAGGGTGGGTTGGGCTGGCGGCTGCCCAGCTCTGGGGACAGATGCGTCGGCTTTCGAAGCCCAGGTAGCACCTGTCTGAGACTGCACAGCCCTCCTCACCTCTTCAGTTCCTGAAGGGAAAGACCCCAGGAGACTGAGGTGAAGAACGCTCTTCCATTTTCAACTCACCCACCATTAGGGTTCTGCCCCCTCTACCCTCCAGCTCGCCAACCGTGAAGTTCCAGGGTCCCTGGCCAGTCACTTGCGGAAGCCTCGCTCTCCAGGACCTCGGGAAAGAGGCACCCTACTCGAATGCGTGCTTCTCCAGGAATATTTGCTCTGGTAATTGCTGAGAATAAAAGGCATGTCTAACAGTTTGATTGCAGGTGGGTGACCCCGGGGCAAGTGATTTTGGGAAGATGGGGCTGGCTGGCGTCCTGTGTCCTGACTTTTCTTCTGAGCCTCTGCAAAACCACTTTTGAGAAAATTAATCGGGGTGGGTACTCCTGGGTGGCATTTTCTTCTAAGTGAAAATCTGTAGAATTCCTGCATTTGCGGGAGCTGGGGTTTTCTGTCACGACCTTGTGGGGAGAGGGGCTGCCCTTCTGTGTCCTGGCAGTGTGGGGCCTGTTTCTTATCCAGACTTACCCAGACTCTTCTTATCCAGAAGAGTCAGGTGCCTGGCCAGTGAACTGCCCAACTCCAATTTGTATGTCGCTCGTATCGACCTAAAATGAAATAATAATGAACTCTAAAACATCCCATTTCTGGCATTACAGAGACCTAGGAAGGGAAGGCTTATAGCCGGCTTCTTCACAATCCAACTGGAAGTAGGGTAGCCGGATCCTGGCATCCGTATCTCCTGCTGGGTGAGGGTCACAGGATCTCAGCGCCCAGGTGAGGCAACGATGTTGAAAGAGGCTTCAGAAGAACTGGGCCAGAACAGTGGAATCAAACGGAAAAGACTGGAAATTCAATCAGCTTGGGGAATGACCAGAGAGCGTCTGTTGCCCAGCAAGGCTTGAAAACAGAGATTCCCAGCAACAGGGCCATAGCAAAGCTCTCTTAGCACACCTGCCCCGGACCGTCAGCTGATGAGAGCTTGTGATTGTGCCATCCAAGGAGACGTAGCTATTTGGTCTTCAGCTGGTTCTGGGCACAGAGCATCTAAGACCCTTGGAATCTTTCGAGTGGTCAGAGTGCCTTTGTGTAGTCGGGACAGGCCTGGGAGCTGGGACCCCCTAGGCAGTTTCAGGGTGGTTCTCGGGTTCAGAAAGACCAAGGCAGGACTAGAGTTTCTGGAGCGCCTGGCCCCAGTGCAGCTCACCATGAAGGGGCATGAGGGGTCTGCCTGTGTGAGACTCCACGGGGAGGGGGTCCCTGCTGAGACCCACCTGACCTGGTGTCCTGCACCCGCTGCTGATGGTGGCAGCACTGCTCGCACGGGCATGGCTACCCTGCTGGGTTGAGCCCACACCCCATGCCTGGAGGGCTCAGCAGGAGACACAGGCTCTGGGGTCCCCAGCTGAGAAAAGAGCCAGGTTCCCTTTCAGGGGCCAGAGAGCCAGGGGCTGATGCTGCCTGTGACCCCATGAGTTGAGCGCCAGGTGTGTGCACCCTGAGAATGGTAAAGTGGCTCCTGGGAGGTGCCTGGGCACTCCTTGTGGGGCTGGTGGGAGGCACGGTGGGCCCTGCAGCTGGGTGCTTCCTCACGCATCTGTGGAAAAGGCTTCTGAGACTTGGAAAAAGGGCTCTACTGCTGAAAAGAGGCTTCATGGTCACACAGACTGACATTCCTAGGTTTTCACACGTATCTGCCATGGGGGCAGCCAAGCTTGGCTGTTCCCACTCTGACTGGTGCCTTAAGGTGATGGACGGGCACGTCCTCTAGGGCAGAGAAGTGAAGCTGCCCAAGCACCAGTGTGGACACTGCACTGGCCCAGAAACCTTCCAGGGAAGAGAAGCCTGAGGCCCCACTGTGCAAAGCTGCTCTTCCCCATCTTTTTGATCATTTCCCAGGAGAGGGAACGCTGCCTCAAATGTCTGAAGCCTGACAAGAGCTTCAGAAGACTGGGAGTGAGGCTCGCAGCCACAGGACGCACCACAGGAACGTAGGAACGTAGGAACGTGGGAACGTGGGAACACAGGAATGTGGGCTTTGGTGATGTGTGTTAGAAAAGCATTTAATAACCGGTTAATCTGTGCGGCTTGCAACGCACACTCACCTCCAGGCATCACGAGGCTGACATCCTGCATGGTGAGCACAGAGAGCTTCTCTTCGGAGTCCAAACGAATGACTCCATAGGTCAGCCCATGCATGGAGAGGACGCCCCAGCCCGGGGGCTGGTTACTGTCATCCGTGGGCCTGTAACGACAGTTTTTAACTTGAATATGCAGGGGCAGACAAGCCATCACAACCACAGTTGTGCAGTCAGCACACACGCGGCAGGCTGGGCACCCCCGGGAACAGTGCCGGCCACCCACGTGGCCGCATTAGGGGGTGCTCGTTCTGTTTATGAACGGCTGCTGGCGAGTCTACTGCTTCCGCCTCTACGTTCTCAGGGAATCTCAAGAATACCTGAAAACTACGAAGGCAGCTCCTCTCCTGACCTCTCTTTGCAGGTCCTGCACACACCGGCTCTCTCTGTCCTCCCAGCTCCTGCTCACTGCATGGTCTGCTCTTCCAGTTTCCAAACGTCTGGAAGGGGGTGTATCCACTCCAAGAATGCAGACAAAACCACTGAACAGAAATGATGGAAATCCTAACTGTACAGCCTCAATTCAGACGCAGGCGGTCTGGGCGTACGCCCAATTTTATACATAAGAATCTAAAATAAGATTGATGCTGTGCCATTCTGGCTGCCAAGTTCTAAGGAAAATTATTTGGGTGGCAGGCAAGCTGTAGAATGAACTGTGGCACCACTCTGGGGTCCGCCCCACCTCCTCTGCCGGACACCCCAGCTTGCTCCCGCTTTGAGGCTTCTGTGCTGGTTCTCACTGCTACTCAGGACGTTCTTCCGGCAGACCTCCGCACGGCCCTCTCCCTCCGCGTCTCCAGAGTTTGGCTCAAATTTGAGACTTCTCATCCCCTCAGAAAACACTCCCCACCCAGCGTGCCCACCCCATAGCACACATCTCTGACTACCTGTGCGACCTCTTCCCTCAGACCCAACTCTCCAGTTTCTTTTGCTCACTGCTGCATCCCAGCCCTGGAAAATGTCTAGCAATAGATATCTGCTGACTGAATTTGTGAACAAATAAGTTAAAATCTAAGATCATGGATTATATTCCTGAAAACTAACAATTCCTCAATGGTTATCTAAGGGAGTCACCACAATTTAGGTACACATCACATTTGTTTCTGTAATTTTCCATATGTAAACCTTTAATGCACTTTACACTTAAAAGCTGGACCTAAGCTTGCTGTTTAACTTTAAACTATTATGGATTATAATGAAGCTGAAGACATAAATGAGGCAACATAAAAGTTAAAATTTGCAAGAGGAGATCTCATTGGAATGAATTAACTGGTGTACTGAAAAAAGCATGAAAGACTCCTGAAACAGAAGTATTCTAGATGTAAGAATCAAAAAGGATAAAGCTAATCAGATAGAAAAGCAAAGTCTGCCCAAATAAGAAAACCCACACGGAACCACCTAGATGGCGTGAGCTCAAATCACTGGGCTTTACATTATTCTCCTGGCCTTTACTTCCCAGAGACCTCAAAAAAAACTAAAACTCCAAAATGAAAACACAGTGTTGTCAGTGGTCCTGCCACCATTCCCTCACCCTAACAGTCCTCTACAAAGATCGATGTGGGAGTCAGGAACTGTGAGCTTCAGTATCTGCTGTGGGTTGAATCGTGTCCCTGCAAAAGATCACCCCTCGTATCTGTGACCTTATTTGGAAGCAGGGCCTGTGCAGAGACAGATACCCCTGGACTTACAATGGGGTTACAACCTGATAAACCCGTTGTAAAGGTGAAAATCGCAAGTTGAACCACCTTAAGCCAGGGCCATCTTATGATCAGGTTAAGATGAGGTCATACTGGGTTAGAATGGACCCTAAATCCAATGACTCGGTCCTTGAAAGAGGAGAGAGAGGCCCAGACACGGGAGAAGCTCACATGATGATGGAGGCAGGGACTGGAGTGACAGGTACCCCATCCAGGATCGCTGAGCACCCAAGGCCGGGGTGAGGCCTGGGGCGGGTTCCCTCAGCACCTCCAGAGGCCCAGCCCTATGACACCTCGGGGTCTCCGACTCCACCCTCCAGAACTGAGACAAGTGTCTGTTGTTTAAATCACCCACTGTGTGGTACTTTGTTACAAGAGGCCGAATACACTATCTTAGTGATAAAAATTTAAGGTATACTTAGTTTTGTTTTTAAAAGCCACATGACAGCAAAACGCTGGGCTAGCCAAGATTCCGAACACTGGCCTGCCGGGCAAGAGGCTGGGAGGAAAAGTCGTCTTAGGGCCCAAATCACGTATGTTTTGTTATCTCCATTACAAAATCCCCCCCTTTTTATCTGAGACACGGTTTCACTCTGTCACCCAGGCTGGAGTGCAAGGGCGCACACAGAAGCGTGGTGTTCAGGCAGGCACAGAACACAGGCAGGCACAGAACACAGGCAGGCAGACAACACAGGCACAGAACGCAGGCACAGGCAAGCACAGAAGAGTGGTGTTCCCCCCGGCCCCACACACACACACAGCCAGGCACAGAAGCGCGGTGCTTCTGACACACAGCCAGGCACAGAAGCGTGGTGCTCCCAACACACAGGCCGGCACAGAAGCGCGGTGCTCCCAACACACACACAGGCCGGCACAGAAGCGCGGTGCTCCCGGCACACACAGCTGGGCACAGAAGCGCGGTGCTCCTGACACACAGGCAGCCTCACAGCCCCACCTCGCCACAGACGTGGTGTCCAGGGTCACCCCTTAACTTCTGACCTGGTGGTGCTGATGCCTCCCCCTACAGATGGCAAACCAATGCCCTAGTGGTACCTTCCATGTGCCAAATGGTTCTGAGTCATGCATAGGGACTCAAAACTCACCACAAGCCTATGGTTATTATTCCCCAATTTGAGATGAGAAGACTCGGGCACGGAAATGTTGACTTCACCGCCCAAGGGAGTGCTGGGGTTTGGCAGCACTCAGACCCAGAGCACAGCCTCTATTTCCAGGACACTGAGTGCATCAGTCTACTGCTCTCTTTTTATAGAAACTTAGAAGCAAACAGTACAACCAACGCGAGCACATTCTTAGTATGAACAACGCAAACATCACAGTTCAAAGGGAAAGTGCCTGTTTCTGCGCCAATCCTGTGCCCCACAGATAACCACTATGGAGATTTTTATATGTCAACGTTTATACTCTAAGATATGCAGTTAAGTATAAAATATGTATGTATAGCAATACATTGATTTTTTAAAGAAAAGCACAATCAAGATGCTTCTTCTATGTTGGCAGAGAAGTTGAGTGTTGCGAGAAGCTGAGTGTTGGGAGAAGCTGAGGCAGGGCTTCCATATCTGACATAAGAGTCTTGGAACATGTCCAGGGTCCAGGGTCTGAAACTCCTCGTGGCCTTTGGAACACCAAGCTCTGTGCTAAAGGGTGGAAGGCTACCCTGACGCACCATTATCTAAGCCCAGGGCATAGACCTCCCTGTCCACTGTGAGTGTCGGGACTCCGATAGTCCTCCCTGTCTACTTGTTGGGGCTGGGATAGGCCTCCCTGTCCACCTGTGAGTCCCATGCACTGCAAGATGATGCTATGCCAAAACTGTTCCATGAGGCTTCACACCGGGTATTGTATTTCATTCACTGCTAGGCTCTACACTGACTTTTATGACCCCAGGAAGGACTGAGACTTAAATAGAATAGGGGCTAGGTGATACAAACGGCCGCTGTAATGAGAACATACCAAGACCAGGCCACAAGGAAGGAAGGAGAAGCCCCCTGCCACAGCCTTTTACCAAGTCGCTGACATCTCTGTCCAACATGGATAAAAAGACCCTTTTTCCTCCTAAGTCTAAAGCAACATATCGGCCCATCTGACAGTAATTCTGTTGTACATTTAACTTCATCTTGCTCTTCTAAGTGACTGTTCATGGTCTTAACACCTGTACAAGAATTTCTCAGTTGCTGAACCACTGTTAGTTATTCAGCAGACAAAATGGCAGCAGATTGCACCCCAGGAAGAAACACACCCAGTCACGGGCACGGAACGGGACATCAGTACAAACCGTTTACCAGAAAAAAACGCATCTCTGCTTTGGGACGTACCATCGCCGGTCTCCATGAGCTCGGCGTTGCCGTACTCGGGCGCTGTCCGGGACCCCGTGGAACCCTGTGGTCACTCCATCTGTATGGAGTGCTCTGAGGTGTACGTGGTTACGTCAGGAGGTGCAGAATGATTTTCTGTAAAGAAGCACATCATGAGTGTTTCTGGTGGTTGTGGCGTTTGCTCTGCAGGTTGAGCAAGCCATAACTTAGGAAGAGACCAGAGCGCGGGCGCTCACCCTGGGGGTGCCGTGAGAAGCCAAAGTCGATCTCAGCCATGTCTGCCACAAACATCCGGCACAAAGGGGGACCCTCAGCATAACTCATGTTGCCGAAAATGGAGTAGAGTTCGGTGAAACCTCAATTTCCTAAAAGGAGCCACGTCAGCGGCGTTTTAACTAGAATAACGTTAGACTGGCGATGGCAGGGCACCAGGAACCGTGTGTGTGTTCATGAAAGGGTCCCGTTTCCTGTCGGCCACCGTCGACACAGCCCAGGGCTTTACTGGCGCTTTGGAGCCCAGGGCCTGGAAATGGAAACCCGGCTCTGGAAACTTCTGGGGATTTGGGGATTTCCCTTAAGCTCTCCGTGCCTCAGTTTCTTCATCAAATGGGAACAGTAATGGCTATGACCATGTAGGGTAGTTGGGTGGATTACATGAGTTAACACATATACAGTTCATAGGATTTTCTTTACAAAAGGGGGAGACATCAAGAACTACTATTATTTGTCTTAGTACAAACAATACTAGTCATTCAAAAAACCACCTTTACACCCTAATGTGTACTCAGGACTGCCTAAGGCCAATGAGCGCATGGAGCTCTTTCTCTTACAGCACCCCGTGGAGAGAAAGTCAAGCCGTAAGCGGCTAAATGGGGAAAAGCATGCTTTGCTAGTTAATGAATAAAACGTTGAGGAAGATGCTCCAAGCAGCCCACTGACGACGCCCGTCACACCTAGAATCTTGAGGATGGGCGCCACAGTGCGGATCTGGATTCTGAATCCTCTTTGAGAGAAGCTTTTCAGGATCACCCACCACCGTCCCACGCAACAGAAGACACAGAAGCGTGATATTCTGTGCTGCTGAAAGTGGTGCTCATCCTCAAAAGCCTTTCTTCACCGCACACTGCCCGTGTCAGCACCGCGCCCGGAGGCCATTTAGACGGCGAAATCAACTGAACGCACAAAAACAGCACACAGAAAATCGAGGCACAAAAGAGGCCGTGAAACGATGCTCCTTTATGATCCGAGAACCGGGCGGGGTGGGGGTGCTGAGCCGCCTGGGCACCGCGTCAGCCCCTCCTGAGGGTGTCAGTCTGGCGTCACAAGTCGATTTGGCAACGCCACTCACTTGGAACCCGTGACTGAGAAGAGAATGATCGGCTCTCACTAAGGGGAGGGTCCGCCACACCGTCCGTCAGTGCCACGACTTTCCACCTGCAGGCAGGCCGCCCGACTTCCTGCAGAACCAACCCTCAATCCTCAGCGGATTGGATGGTAGCGTCTCGGAGGCCTCCTCTCAGCTCCGAGGTGTGAAAGCGCTGCAGACAGCTTCTAGATGGGCAGCGGGTAAAGCAGTAGAAAAAGAAAACTAGAATGCGATTTCCTATCTTATGCCAAACTGGCTTGACTGTGAAGATACATATGAGATGTTCCTACTTAACTGCTGGCATAAATTGGTGGAAAAAAATCCACAAAGGACTTGAGATTTCGCTTCAACAAGTAGAAGCGCGGCCAGCTCTGTGAGACTGGGTGACCTGGAGTCTGCAGCCCTGGGCTTATATCCCCTCCGACGAAAGCAGCCTCTGTGGCCTCCCTTCCATCCCTTGGAGGGTTGGCCAGTGTGACTATGTTGTGCCTGGACTCCTTAGAACTCTCACACGCATGCGCACACACGATCACACACGCTAAGTTCTCGTTCACAGGCTTCTGATGATCTCAGAAGGTCACATGCACATCTGACTTTTTACTTCTCTTGTTTTGCTACAGAAAATATTTCTCCTCTTCAAGTTTCATTATTTTGCCACGGCTTTTCCAAAAAATACCAAACTTATAGAAAATGTCCAGATAGTCTACGAGGATTACCTTTGTGCCCAATTAGAAATTACTGGAACGTGATCACCTGAGAGTTACATTTGGGTCACACTGAGCCCTGATGTACATGAGTTAGGAGCCCCTCACAGTTTGGATAAATTAAGTCTTTGTACTAAAACTTCCTCCAGTATTGCAAGGGTCAACCCACAAAGGGAGGCCCAAGTGCAGTGCTTCATTTGTTCAAAATGTGTTTTCCGGGTAAGATTCTGTGCACTTCCTTAAAATTGAATACAATCCGAGGATACAAATGCTTCCACCAAGTGGCAGAGGTGGTGTCTGGCCTCCCCGTTCAGGTCTGGCAGAGCCTCGACCACTATCCTGGCATCCAATATACACATGGAATTTTATTATGGAAAAATATGTAACAGTCACACATTTCTGTTCAATGTTTAACCTACTGTGATTTCAAGTATAGGTTATTAATTCACATAAATGAGTGTACATGTTCCTGAAACTGTGTCAAACTGAAGTGTAATACTGCTTTGCATTTGAGTACTACTTTGCAAACTTTTAAAGAGTATTTCTGTTTTCTCCTTTATACTGACAACAGTTGAGACAGAAAAATTATTTTTTTCAATTTTTTTTCCCTCACTGAAAGCCTAAAGCAGGAGAAGGGACTTCCAGATCCCAGCAGCAGTTATTGGGAAAAGTGAGACAGACCCAGCTCTCCTGACAGCAAACTCCTGTTCCAGACAGAAAACAGCTGACGCTTTCAGTGTCAGTGAGCACCGAAGGGGCTGGGACCCAAGTCAATCCCAAACGCCTCTGGGTGTCAAGGAGTCAGTGATCTAGAAGTGAACATTCTGGGGTTCTGGGGTGTCTGTGGGCTATCTGATCACACATGACGTCCACCTGCTTCCCACTGAGGGATTTGCAGAGATCAGGCTTTCCTGTGGTAGCTGATGCCGGGAGGGTCTGAGCCTGTGTCTTGTGCTCCATTATCGGCAACATGGTACACAGTCGTCTCCGATTACTGCTTTAATAGAGACACACACCAAATCCTAGTCAACCCAAGTCCCATACTTGATGGAAAACATGTAGGGTCCTGAACCATTCAAAGGCAGAGCGACAGAAGGCTCATCACCGCTCCTCCACGCGCCGGCTCTACCTCTAGTAATTCTCACTTCACTCCTTTTCCACGGCATCTTCAAACGTTGTAGGGCAGTGATCCTAACTTCGTTCTTTTTCTAACACAGAGGATCTCCCTTGTCATAGAACCTACACAAAACAGTGCGCCACGCCCAAGAAATCTGAACACCTGTGGCAGACAGCAGCGTAAAGCAGCCGTGGTTAAAGCCCTCGTTTCCATAAATGACTCCCGTGGTCAGGAGGAGCACACTTTAAAACCCTGTCCTGTTGACTGGGACTGTTAAGGTTTCACAAAGGAGCATAAGTGAGAAGAAAAGATGGGAGCGGATATGGCTGCAGGATTCCCCAGTAGCAAGGCCCCTGCAATTCCAGCTGTGGGAGGGACCTGGGCATGAGAAGCAGTAAAGGAGCTTCCAGAAACAATCCAACCAAAGCACCCCAGGGGCCAGAGGGGCTCTGCACTCTTTCCACCAAGGGATTCCACAGCCATGATAAAACAGAGGAAAACCTGCACCCACAAAGGCATTTAGACAACAGGCACAGAAAGACATTGTGAAGCGTGCTCACCTATGTCGGTCTGGGCCATGACCTCCGCCAGCTTGTGGGCAGCCCCGCTGCCCCCCGCTCTGCATGGAGGACGAGGAGGTGGAGGAGGTGAGGTATAAGGGACTGACAGCCCAGAGCGTCTTGACGTGCCACCGTGAGCTAGGCTTTATTCCACAGGGTAACTCTGCTTCCCGTGACAAGATGCAGCATGTGAGTACAGATCAAAGGGTATCAGCAACTAACCCAATCCCCAGGTACTAAGCAGAGGACCAAGAGTTTAGTTCCTTACTTATTTGCTACGAGCTTGATTCAAAACAGCTTTCTGGGATCCTGGGGACAAACATCTCTAACTGGTGAGAATTCTGGGTTTAGTAACGGAAGAATCACCTAATGCCCATTTTGTAACTGCTGTTCTCATCAGAACTTGAGGTCAAAGGGTAAAATAAAAGGGGGGCCAAGATCTTGACACCCCAGTTTGCACAAGGCTAACCAGCGTGCTTGAGGGGGTGAAAGGAGTAGGATTTTTAAAGTGCTGAGTTTTAAAAACATGGCTCTGGCTGGGTACACTGCCTCATGTATATAAGCCCAGCACTTTGGGAGGCTGAGGTGGGAGGATTGCTTGAGGCCACGAGTTCAAGACTGGCTTGAGTAACACAGCAATATCCTATCTCTTTAAAAAGAAAAAAAAGTTATTAAAATAGTAATAAAAAGGTTAATACAATAAATTACTATAGCAACATGGCAACCCCTGCTGTCAGACGAGGTGCACTCTCTGTGGCTACGATGAGGTCCGGAGAGAAATGTAACCGGCATCATAGGGAAGGTGGACCCCAAAGCTCCACGGCGCTACTCCTATACAGTCTGTTAACCAGCATGAAGTCTCCTCCACAATAAGAAGCCCCACCCTGGGACCCTGCCGGCAGCCCCAACTGGACAGAATGGCCTCGTGAATGTCCTTTCCTGCCACAACCTGCAGACCCTGAGCCAGTCCTGGCTGTGACTGAGGCTGTGCATAAACGTCTGCGCCCAACAGCTCACCTGTGTACATGACACGCCCAGTCAACCTCATTTCAAATGTTACGCTTGCCCCAAGGTGAACATGGATGTTACAGGTTAACTCACTGCATGTGTGCTAGACTTTCCCTGTAAGTGTTCAGACATTGCACGAACCGGATGAACAAACCCCACTTTCCCTGTAAACGTTCCGACATTCCATGAGCCCGATGAACACACACAGCCAACAAACCCAGGAACGTGTAACGCCGCGGCCTCCTCCCCTCCTGAGGGGCGCGTGCTTACAGCACCCCCGAGACCACATTTCCCAAAGCACAGAGTGTTACTCTGAAAAGAAAACCTCCTTTTTCCTTCCTCTGTACATCTCGTGGTCATGTTAACAACTATTGCTACAAATGCAGAGAAACGAGGTATCATCCGTGCCGGTCACCGAATTCCTAGCACCAAAGCTTCAGGGCCCCCCAGTCTGAAGGAAGCTTCTATCACCCTAAAGCCAACTCTGGAGATGAAGGCCGAACTGGGGAAAGGTTGTGTCACCCGCAAATCCACACCACGGGGCCCTCTGCAGTTGTGTGTAAGGAACTCTTGGCCTGTCCTGGGGTTTGGGGACATCAGGATGCAAGCAGATACTGTACGCTCTGCCACGGGACGGTGAAGTCTGCGAAACCTCAGAGGAACACAGAGACAAATGGCTGCACGAGTCCCACAGGCCGAGCCTCGATGGGCACCAGTGTCAAGAACACAGACACGCCAGGAGGGGCAGCTGATGCAGGCAACGCCTGCAACCCCAGCACGCGGCAGCGTACGAGAGTGGGGGTCTCTGGCCAGGCTCCACCACAACTGCCATATTCTGTAGTAAAATTTTAATCATAGGTTGTAACTAGTTATAACTTGTTTTACAGATAAACAGAACACAGGGTACCAACAGACTCCAAAGTACTTCGCCTAGAACCAAGTCTAGAATGCAGATGGCTGCTGCTCCGAGTGTGATGAGTCCCCTGTAGTGCCATAAATCCTAGATCTAGGTGACTAAGTGCTCTGCCTAAACCAGATGGCACCCTGAGGCTCTGAGGGTACCCTCTCTCCCCAGGCCAGTCCATCAGCCCCAGCAGAAGCTTCTAGAGTAAGAAACTGTGGATTTCTATTGGACAGATGTAAACCAGGCAAAATCACAGGGACTCATCCTGGAAGCCCATCCGTTTACCCACTCATGCCCTAGAGAGCCCTGCCCCCATCTCCACATCC